TATATATATATATATATATATAAATATATATATATATATTATATATATATATATAAGTATATGTATATTTATATGTGCATATATATATATACATATACATATATGTATATGTATATACATAATATATATATATATATATATATATATATATATATATATATATATATATATATATATATATATGCATGTATTTGTATATATATATTTACATATATTCATAAATATTCAGATTCACGAGAGTATATGTGCACAAATATATATATATATAGATAGATATATAGATATATATATATTACATTATATTATAGTATATTACATATATATATATATAAATACATATATATACATATATATATATGTATATATGTATATAGATATAAACTATATATGAATTATACATTATATATGCATTTAAATGCAAAAGGTATGTAGGTGGTCGTGTGTACATGTACAAATATTGAAGTATCCTGTATATACTTAAATTTATGTATATATATATATATATATATATATAATATTTATAATAGATATATATATGTGTGTGTGTGTGTATGTGTGTGTGTGTGTGTGTATATATATATATATATACGTACATTTTCACACAAGATTTTAAAATGTGCAACAGTCCGATATTCGGATCTTGATGTTTTGTGACATGATCGACAGTGCTATAATATTTACCAGATAAGGTTATAGATTAAACGTGTCAGTGACTATACCAGACATCACAAGTAGGAGTGTATGGTAAGTAGTACGACCATCTGTCTTCACACGTGTGCATGATACGACTACCGTGTGATACACTTACTTGGCTGAGAATCTCACCTATGCATGCAGCGACTGGTATAAGAACGAAATACGTCAGATATACACCTATGTACGCATGCAGCCATAACGCCTGTGCCTCCCCACAACTTAGGTACACTTCACAAATACATAAACTCAGACACAGAAACGGCGGTACATACTGTGAGAGACAGCTTGGCCATGTCTTTAATTTTAAGCTCAAAGCTTTCCCGTTGTTCTTTGAGTGGTCCGGCTTTGCTCGCTCTCCTATAGCTGTTGATAGAGTCTCCCTCAGAGCTCCGCTGGTGGTGTGTATGAGTGTTGGAAGTTGAGCCACTCTTGTTCACGGATGTGCGGCTACCTCCGTTCCCATTCGAACCTGTGTGTGAATGCGAGTGCGAGTAAGGAGCAGGCACTATGCAGGTGTCAATATGACCTATTTTGGACTAATTGGACGTGTTGAATCAAGATGTGGTTGGTGTACGCTGGAACGAAAGTATGCAGCTGCTGAAGTCTAATAGTGCATGCATACTGTGAATCGCTAGAACACGTGTGGAGAGGCAGTCACGGTACAGATGAACATTCCTACATCCACACTGGTGAAACATTAATGGTGCATCAACCGTTACTCGATAGGGCACGAGCCAACTCCATAACTCGAGAGCTCATAGGTGACGGGATCGTCTTCCAAATGATGCGTATCAGTATCCCACACTGTGTGAAATGAGATAGAAAGCCTTCACGAACACAAGTCAGTGGAACATATGTGGCAAGTCAAGTATGCATGCAAGGATGAACATATATAGGTGCGCATGTCTCGACGTTTATTTTTCCAGGTGTACACGTGTACGCCGTGCTTATTAGCAGTAGCGCATGTTTACAGTGGTTTGCTTGTCTACATATATCCAAGTGCTTTAAGTCAAGTCTATAAGTATAAATGTCAGGGCACAACAAAACAAATCAAATCAGACAAGCACTCATGCCAGTTGCCACCCGCACCCAACACCAACAATGACCAATTCAGTACCTCCAGGATGAACCTTGGCACTGACAAGATCGGGGATAGTCGACAGTGCTTTGGGATCTTTCTGCACAATGGGCAGATATTCATTGAGCACAGCCATCCAATCAGCAGCGACTTCATCGAAGCTATCACTCTGTGCGATGACCATGTCCTACATTGCAAAACATTGGTAGGCTCTCAGAGGGGCGAAATAGGGCACACACAACCATGGGAAACGTATAATGTCGCTTTTTTGTATTCAATTCTGGTGTCATATTATAACTATGAAATAAGCAGCAAAATGTGAACGTTACTATCGTACCAGTTCACCGCGTTGGTGTGTGTCCGGGTGCATGTCTATGCGTGTGTGAATATATGTATGTCTGTGTACGTGTGTATATATATGCATATATATGTGTGTTCTTATCTGTGTCTGTATACGTGCCTGTGCGTACGTTTACAAGTATATACATGTATATAGATATTTATACATTCATATATATATATATATATATATTATACAATATATATATATGTGTGTGTGTGTGTGTGTGTGTGTGTGTGTGTGTGTGTGTGTGTGTGTGTGTGTGTGTGTGTGTGTGTGTGTGTGTGTGTGTGTGTGTGTGTGTGTGT